ACAAAAGATGATTTTCATCATAGGTGCCCTTTAAAATGCAAATGCACATGTTTTGTTTCATTTGTAAAGGTCCTGTTGGACTCTAATCTAAAAAATCAAGAGTTTAATTTCTATTTATCTGGTGTTTATATGGATATATTTTTTTCTGAATTTGTGCTTTGCATTTTACTCACCCTGGTGTACCTGGCCCATTGTGGCGCCCAGGGGGCCAGTACCGGGACTCCAATGTGACCTTTTGATCACTAGTCCAACTCACTAACCATTAGGACATTGTTATTGAGCTAAATTATTTCCTAAGTAACTTTTTAATGATGTGATTATGAATTACTTTCTAATAACAAGCTGATAATTAGCTTGTGAAAAGTTTAGTTAGTCACCTTTTTCTCCCCTGCTGAGTGTGCATGCCTATATAAAGAAACCTCCAGAGCAAACTGTAGCCTTCTTTGAGAAAAGTCTGTAGGACGAAATGTTTTCTTTCCTTCTAACGTGCTTCAGAAACGGGTGGAGGTCTGTCTGTGTGTTGGAAACTTTTTCGTTTTCTCTCACCAGTCTCCCTTCATCAGTCCCTCCTCAGCGCTCTCACACCAAGACAACCACACCATTCAATAAATCACAGCGTTTCTCCAAAAAGTCCCAATGAATCGGCGCTGCAGCGGGGGTGGAGCGTCATCTGCAAGGACGTTTTGGGGTCATGGCAAGGCTGTTGTCCTCATTCAACACTAGAGAAAAAAAGTACATGAAACCAAAGCTTATTAGAACAGAAGGCCTTCATTGTGAAAGGAAACACAACGTCTAAGTCAGGCCAGAAAATAGTTTCTTAGAAATGGATTGCAGGCAGTGTTTTGATGGCATTCACTGATTGTGCTGAGGGAATTATGGGCTTTTGTTCTTGAGGCAATTCCTCATCCATCATCGTGATGTCTTTAGTCTGACAGTAAATAAATGACAAGCTTGCATCATCTTCAAAAAAAAAAAGAAAAGGAAAAAAAAAGGCACAAGAACCTCAGATCTCCTGAAAGTTGATGCTATTGTCCAGTTTTGTATAGGAAAATGTGCCGCTGGTGCTCTGGTCAGCTGTTAATGACCTTGTTCTGAGTTATATTGCTCTTGTCTGGCCTTAATGCCCCGACTCTGCGTTTGATTGCTGCAGTCTGGAAGTGATGAATCATGCTGTAATGGCTGCTCAGGCAGAGGAGCATATGATTTCTATCATGCCATCACCAGCTAATTTGATTTGGCTTTTCTGGAGGATATGACTTGACAGTATAATATTCCCCTGCTTTCCGTCTGTCTTCTTCTTCTTTTTTTTTTTTGTATTCGTCTATGTGTGCATGCATGTGTGGGGTATGGGGTTTTAATTAATTTCATTCATTTGTAGAAATAATGGAAGGTTTGTGCGAAGGTCAAGTTCTGGGTTAGGGATGGAGAATATCATTAGCGGATTAGCTACGTAAAATTACACTAAACATTAAACAAAAAAACGTTGAGTTATTTATTTAACCAATTGATTGAGTTAAACATATTTTGTGCTTTGTTGGGTTATTTTTAAGCTTTATTAGGTTATTTATTAATAACTCAACTAGTTGGGTTAAATATTTGGTATTTTGTTGGGTTATTTTTGACCTTTATTTGATTATTTATTTAAATACTCAACCAGTTGGGTTAATTTTGAATTTCAACAGTCAACTGATTTAACTGACAATGAACAGCTGTATTAATATGCGTGCGTAGTGTTGTTTTTGCATTAGAAAGTTTATTTGAGCTCTAATGCATTATTATTATTATTATTATTATTATTATTATTATTATTATTATTATTAAATATTATTAATTTGTTTTTATAATAGTGTCACCAGCACTCTTAATTATTGATTATACATACGCACGCTTCATAGCTGATCCATATAAAATGGATAAAACGCTTTCTCTACCTCCTGTGTTCATCTCTACAGTTTTTTTGGGGAGGAAATGAGACATATATTTGGGATATTTGGCTGTCATTCTTGCCTTTCATAGGACCCAGCGGAGACGTTTATTTACACAGCCATAATTATAAAATTAATAATAGTTCTTCAATAGTTATACCAGAATGAAAAAAATAACAACATCTAATCAAAATAACCAATGCCTTAAATTATTGAGTTAAATTATAGAAGCCAATGCATTGGGTTAAAAAATCTATAGTTGGAAAGGTGCTATAATAACCAATAATTGGGTTATATGCTGGGGTATTTTTAACCCAACTATTTTAAAAGGGTAAAAACAGCTGAAATGATGAGAGAGTCAACAGTAGGGATGTCCAGATCCTATCAGGTAATCAGAAATTGGGCCCGATCACACAGTTTCAGAAACTAATTGGATGTTACCTCCCGATCAGGACTCGAATATTATTCTCATTATTTTATAACACATCTATAGTATGTGGTGGCACAGAGTTAGACCTCTTTCTTGACTTCACACAGAAACAGCAACGCGTTGCTTGACATCACTGTGTTGCAGAGATGCTATTGGTTAAATGTCAGCAAAGCAGAACACGGAAGCTTGAAGCGGAAAGCATGAGTATGTTTGCAGTCTGGAGGTATTATGAAGTTGATGTCGACAACATTTCCATATTAAACTGTGAGATTTGTAATCTTGGAATTGCCTGCTGGGTATTTTAAGCTTTGCTATTTGTTTTTATACTAATTTTCTTTAAAAATATTTATTGTTGCACTAAAGTCCAAAAGTGAAGAATTGATGTTATTTATTTGATTGTTCACGCTACCTCACAGACGTGCTCAGTTTGTTAACTGAGTTGTTGAATGTTAAAATACCGTGAAATTAAATAAAAAATAAGGAACATTCTGAATCAGTTTCTTCACTCTTCTTTATTATTTGTGTATTATAGAAGAATCGGAATGGGTTTTGGTGTTGGTAGATACTCAAAATCAAATGACTTGGACTTGAGGGCAAAAAACCCTGATTGGGACATAGTCAACAACAGTGTGTGACTCTAAAGGTCAAACAATATATAATGTACTGTATGTATCAGCATATGCACAAATTAGTAAAAGATCTCTCACGACTTCTTAGAAGTCTGCATTCCCAGAACATCAGTGAACTGAATGAATACTATATGAACTGTGAAATGTTTGAATTATTGAAATAGCCTGTAAATATTCTGCAGTGAAAACTTCTAAACTGGAACACTGGTTAATTTACTATAATTGTGATTTGAATGAATTTAAAATGGTATACATTTGTAGTAAAACATAAGTAAAATGATTGTTGTTTAGGTGTGCATAACACATTTAATATGATTATATTTTATTTAAAAATAAATTTCCTTTCTTTTCTCAATTTTTAAATAATTGTAATACTAGTTTGCACTAAAAAGCATTATTTATTTAACTCAATGGATGAGTTAAAGTATTTGGTGCTTTGATCAGAAGATCAGAATCGGTTTTGCTTCACACACACAAGGAATTTGTTTTGGCTACAGAAGCTTCCAGTGTACATAAAGTGACAACACAAAATAAATATGAAAAAAGACGATAAACATTAAACAGAAATGCACTTAGTCAGAAAATCTGGATGTTGAATTGTATGTACAGGTTATAAGGTGCTGTGGACAAATGCGGATGGAGAAAGTATTGCATTGTATATTGATATAAGGTGCTGTGTACGAGTGTGTATGAGAAAGTATTGCGCATATTTATTGCACAGTTGAGGGATATTTAACTGTTCATGAGGTAGATGGCCTGAGGAAAGAAACTTTTCCTGTGTCTGGCTGTTTTTGTGCTTTGTGCTCTGAATCGCCGACCAGACGATAACAGTTCGAACAGGTAGTGTGCTGGGTGCGAGGCATCTAGAGTGATTTTGCGAGACCTTTTTACCCACTCTGGAAGAGTACAGTTCTCGAAGTGTAGGAAGGGTAGTGCCAGTTATTCATTCAGCAGTACGGACAATTCGCTGTAGTCTGGAGGTCGGTTCTGGTTTTTCCGAACCAGACGGTGATTGAAGTGCAGAGGATGGATTGGATGACAGCTGAGTAGAACTGTACGAGCAACTCCTGTGGCAGGTTAAACTTCCTCACCTGACGAACGAAGTACAGTCTATGCTGGGCTTTCTTCACGATAGAGTCAAGGTGAATGTCCTACTTCAGATCCTGAGAGATGGTGGTGGTGATCCTGAGATATGTAGGATCCTTCAGATCCTGAGAGATGTTGTCTGGTTATTTTAAACCTTTATTGGGTTATTATTAATAACTCAACAAGTTGGGTTAAATATTTGGTGTTTTGTTGTTGTTTTCACCTTTGGTTATTTATTTAATAACTCATCCAGTTGGGTTAAATTTTGTAAATTTCAACAATCAACTGATTTAACAGACACAGAACAACTGTATTAATATGTTTACATGTTGTTAAGTTTTTTTTTTTTTTTGGATTATAGTTTTTTAAGGTATAACACAATAATGTTGCTATTTTTAATCAAATTACCTCTCCGTGTTGTGTCGCATTTTCCGTTAAATTTTTTATCTCTACAGCTTTAGAGGATCCAAAAAAAGTTACATATTGATCATGTTATGATAGCTGTTTTAACATCAGGTTATGATTGAATTCTCTATTGTTACTGTTATGAAATAGTTCGATAACAAGCAGGAAATGTTCATGGGCCAATGACATGACCACATTAAAATATTAATTTATTGAATTATTTAAAAAGCAGGTATTGGCTATTGCAAATGATCGCCCTAAAGAACTATTAAAAAGTCTATAAACTGACACTAACTGTGATATGCAATTATAAAGTTATCAGTACTACAGTCAATTACATATACTTAAACTAAAATACAAGTGACTGCCTCTTTTAAAAGGTGCAATTACCAGATAATTTCATGGTGTACTTAAGTGTACCACAGGCAGAGGCATTGTGTTTGTTTATCATTCTTTTTCAGGCAGGCTTGGAAGTCGTTGTAGGATGTTTATGTAAATCTGCTCTTGTCAATGGCTTTGTGCGGTGTGATGGGATAGTTTGCAAATTAAGTGGCAGGACCCGACTCTCCACAATGCCTCTAATCCAGTCAACAACCATCTTCAGGCGTCCTCGATAGGTTGAGACGCTGAGGAAGGGACAACACCTCAGCTAGACAGCGGAAATCCCTCCATCGCTGCTTTACAGGGCGTCTGGCAATCAACGGACAGAACGAGGCTAATTGGCCCTCGTAACCCAGTATTATCTCGGTAGTTACGGACGCCCACCGGCAGAACGCGGCGCGAGCGCCATCTGTGCGCTTTATTTTCTCCTAGTGGCTGAGAGGGAGGGTGGAGAGGGGAGTTTGAATCTCTCCGCCCGCACAATCTATTCACCACCTCGGCTGACAGAGAGGACGCGCGGTGCCTTTTTCCTCCGTTCATGGATTTTACGGTTTCGCGCGGACGCACGGGACTCCGATGGCTGTTCGTCTCAGCGTGGGCTCCTAACATTACAGGCTCACTCCCATGGTGAGTTTTTTTTGGCGTAGCTAACGGCAGAGCGTGCGATGGCTGAGCCGCAGGCTTCCGAATCCGTGGCGGGACCCTTGTACGAGCTCGGAGCGACCACTCCGACCCGGGACACGGCGGCGGCGGCTGCTGCGGCGCTGACCATCAGCGATACCTACCAGACATACCTGGACGTGTCGGCGGCTGGACACCCGGTGTATGGGGCCGAGGGGGTGTACTCTAACGGACGGTACAGGGAGCACAGCAGTCCGCGAGTCGGTACCCGGAACCGCGACAGTTCTGCAGAGAGGTGCACCGGCACTGGGAATCCACCTTGCGGTATTATGAAGGTGAGTGTCATCACTTTGTTATAGAGTGAGGACTTTAAGAGAATCTGCAGCGATGCACATGCCCATGCAGCCCTCTTCTATGGAAACGCATTCTGTGGCATTACTACACTATTTGAGCATACGTTTCATGTGTTTTGGACTATCCTGATGTTGCCTCAATACCAGAGGAGATGCCTTTCTGGAACATTTTGGGATCTTGTGCTCAGTAACAGATCGAGCATTTTTATTTTATTTTTTTACAGCAAAATCAATATTATTTTATTATTATTAATCAATATTATTATTTTGAGAAGGCTAATAAACAAGTATGAGACCGCAGGGTATTTATTATGAATGTGTGAATTTAATGTTGTTATTCAGCTATTATTATTATTATTATTTATTATTATTATTATTATTATTATTATTATTATTGTTTTTGTTATTATTATTATTATTTACATTTATTAATTTAATAAAATTCTACTTTAAAAGTAAATGAATAAATGTAAATAATAATAACAAAAACAACAACAAAAATAATAAATGAAGATGGAAGCTATTCAATTGACCAGACTAAACAAAATAAATAATAAATATTTTCATATTATTTTTATTATTATTATTAATTAATTTAAATGGCTATTTTTTTAGGTTCTGACCAAATGGCAGCATATATATATATATATATATATATATATATATATATATATATATATATATATATATATACACACACACACACAAATATAATACTATATAGCATGCCAACATATATTTACTGTAAGCAATACTGGACTGTTGCTTTCCTGAATATCATCCCAAATGCAAAATTGATATTAGTACTTCATTAAGCAGGAACTTAGTAAAGTGACTTGCATTTTACATTTATTTAGAATATAAACCCATACAAATCAAAGGAATGACTGAATGGCCCACTCATAAAGACAGTCACAGTCACTTGGTTTGTCCTTCAATAAATCCATTAGATCTGCATGCAGCCTATATGATGCAAGCTGTGATTGCATCGCTCAGAGATCCAATGTCAGACATGATGCACTCAATGGAGCTAATGATAGGGTTAGGAGTGGGGTTAGGTGAGCGCATTAAAAAGCATTGGCTGCAGCTCAGATTGCATCTGCACCGAGTCTGCAGCCAGACCCCTCTCAAAAAATCAGTCATTAGCCCAAACAATAAATCAGTCAATGACCAAAATGTTTGCTCATTATTTTGAAAAGTGATTAAGCAGAAAGATTATGATGTAACATTGTTAAATATAAGAAATTATGCTAACTGAGTCTTGAATTGCAAAGACTGATGCAAGCAGATTTAACAAAAACACAACTGAGATTGTACAAACTCATCTAAATTAGAGCCACAGAGTTGCCAAAAAGTAAAAGTGTGTACAGAATTATCAAATAAATAAATCCTGTCTAGGCTGATTACTTCTAAGAGACCATCATAGTCATTAGATCAGAACTTCAAAATCTGTTTGACATCAGGGGCACAAATGCATGTCAGTGTAACTGTGTTCGACCCATGTCCTGGATACAGTCCTGATTTAATAACATGTTTTATTATTTTACGGATGCCTGTTAAAGCACTTGGAAGCATATTTACCCGACAGCTGTATAGCATATGTGACAGGGCCGTGCACTTAAGCACCTCAACAGGGGGACCGCTGTCAAGTGGTGTTTTAATTGGAAAAGTTATCTGTTATAGTTGACCGAAGGCTGAATTGGTAGGATTCTATTACTTGTTAGTGAAAACTGATGGCTTTGCTTTGCATCAGTGAATCTATTGGATTGATTGGTTGGCATTTGGCAGCACGGTCAACAATAGATGACGGAGTGGCTTCAGTTCTTAGAGCACAACCTTGTTAGGAATCACTGCTCTTCGGCTAATTGCTGATCATGTCAGGCATAGGATTGTTCTCAGTTCAAAGGAGAGATCGATGGAAGAGAAAGACGAAGGACAGCACATCAAATCAACATTTGCGTTCATATTCAAAGTGGGGGCTATTTTCCTCAACGTGAGTTAGTGCTGCTGTTTGAGATTAACCAGGAGTCAGACGTCAAAATTGTCATCGGGTTGAATCACTTTGCTTAGCAACTGACTCTAAACAGCGTGATACTCTCCCATTCCCTGGCTTTATTGAATTCCTATGTGATTGTGTGGGTGTCTTGGCACCCACGAGAGGACCAGTATGACAGGAAAATGAGCGGAACGTTCAACGTGCAGACATCTGAGCACTCAAAGTAGACTTATTTGTGGTGCTTGTGTAGAAGCTTGGAAGTAAACAAGCATTCAGTTTTTCCCCAAGGCGCCCATTAAATAAGGATTTTATGTGTTGTTATGTGGAGAATCAACTTTTGTCTTCATTTAGCAATTGTTTGACATTGACTATCTGACTAACTTGATGGTAATATATTGCTCGGTAATGTCTCTGTTTTGTCACCTGTTTAAAGAGACACAACAGTATGAATCCAGATCAGTCTTAAAACTAATACATTTACAAAATATTACTCATGCATTCACAGCACAAGTCACATATGCAAAATCTAATTTGTAAGTTCAAAATCCAATTAATAAAAACACAAATCCAATTCGTAAATTCAAAACATGATTCAAAAATACACAAATCCAATTCGTAAATTTTAAACACAATTCGTAAATGCACAAATCCAATTCATAAATTCAAAACACAATTTGTAAATACACAAATCCAATTTGTAAATTTAAAACATGATTCAAAAAGACACAAATCCAACTCGTAAATTTTAAACACAATTCGTAAATACACAAATCCAATTTGTAAATTTAAAACATGATTCTAAAATACACAAATCCAACTTGTAAATTTTAAACAATTTGTAAATACACATCCAATTTGTACATTCAGAACACTTCGTAAACTCACTTATCCAATTGGTAAATACACAAATCCAATACTTAAATTCAAAACCTGACTTGTAAATACACAAATCCAATTCGTAAATTCAAAACACGAATAAAAAATACACAAATCCAATTCGTAAATTTAAAACATAATTCGTAAATACACAAACCAAATTCGTACATTCAGAACACGATTTGTAAATTCACAAATCCAATTGGCAAATACACAAATCCAGTTCGTAAATTCCAAACTTCATTCGAAAAAATTTCATTTGTGAATTCAAAACACGATTCGTAAATAAACATCCAATTCATAATTTCAAAACACAATTTATAATATATACAAATCCATGATTTTTACAAATTGTGTATTGTGTTTTTTTTTTTTTTCAAATTGGATTTTGTGAATGAGAATTGTGCTATGCATATATGCATGTTCTATTGTAAATATATTATTTCTGAGACTGGTCTGGCTCTATACAACAGTCTGCAAAATATTGTAGGTGCTTGTGTTTAAGGTTTAGCAGCCCAAGGAAAAAAAAAACACTCACAAAAGTGTAATTTATATGGGCATTCAACCTAAATACACTCAAATCTCAGTTTCCCGGATGATAGAATTCCACTTTTACCCAATAGCTCTTTATTAAACCCATTTCATCTCTTGTTTAAAGAAATAAAATGTCTACTCTTCTAAACCTTCTATAGTGCCTGTGTTAAAGATTTAGCGCACCAAGGCTTAAACAATCACTTAGTCTTTCAGTATGTTTTGCATACTGCGCCAGCATACGACGGTGGCTGCTGCTTTGCTGGTCACTGGCTTGGAAAGTAGGAGTGCTACAAACCAGGTACGCCAGTTCAGATTTGCTTGACAAAAGCGTGACTGTATTGGTCCACCTGCTAGTCCTGCACAGTACCAGTTTAAACTAGCATAATCCAGCCTAAACTTTGAGTTCATCCTGGTTTGTGCTAGAATTTGCAGCACGGTCAAAACACAAAATGTAATGTCAATAACTCCATTAACTAGCTGTCTAATCGCCATACAAATAGGCTTCCATAAGTTCAGCTTAAGCTCATCCCCAAAAATCTCCAGGTTATGGCACCGATGTTACTATTGTGGTTCACTTAAACTTACCACTTAATCCTCATTCCTATCTGGCACCAATTTAAATGCAGGGATTTTACTTACTATCACCCCTTTAAACCTCTGTGTCATGGAGCCAATGTAATCCCTGAGGTTTGATTTATAATCAGCTTTATAAACTTCAATTCCATCTGAATCGTAGCATAGCACTCTGAGGTTTTACTTACAAACGCCCTCCTAAACCTCACTTCAATCCAGGTCCTGATACCAATGTAACCCCAAGAAGTTCTACTTGCAATAATTTCTTTTAAGCTGACTCACGTCCGGGTCATGGCACCAATATAATTCCAGAGGTTCTACGTACAATCATTTCTCGAAAGCTGGCTCGCATACAGGTCATGACACCAATTTCACTCTAGAAGTTCTACTTGCAGTCATTTCTGTAAAACTAATGCCCATCTGGGTCGTGGCACCAATATAATTCCGAAGGTTCTATTTTACAATCATTTCTCTAAAGCTGACACTCATCCGGGTCATGGCACCAATATAATTCCAGAGGTTTTACTTACAATCATTTCTGTAAAGCTGACTCCCATCTGGGTCATGGCACCAATATAACTCCTGAGGTTCTACTTACAATCATTCCTGTAAAGCTGACTCCCATCCGGGTCATGGCACCAATATAACTCCAAAGGTTCTACTTACAATCACCCTATAACACTTTAACTAAAGAGTCTGTCATTTTGACCATTTCAATTGTTGAAATAAAACACCTGCATAATTCCCTGAGTTTTGTTTATATTTCCTTCTAACATTATTTTATTAAATTGACACAAGAGTTCTGAATATTTCTAGCTAGAACTACCATGCATTTCAGTGTCTGCTACTTTTCCTCATGACTTTAATATGTCACTCTGTTGCCTAGCAACTTCCTGCTAACAAAAACATAACTTTCTGTCGGCAAAAGCATAACTCTACTTCAGATATGTCTTTCAAAACAGCATATTCAGTGAGGTGAAAAGCCTTATTCCATGCTTGAGAA